CCGAACACAAAGAAGTTCCCATCAAGAAATAAGGAAGGGCTTCCCTGGTGGCTCAGTGGTGAAGAATCTGCCTGCTAATGCAGGAGACACAGGTTTGATCCCTGTTCCGGGAAGGTCCCACGTGCTGTGGAGCAACTAAGCCCATGCACCACAACGGAGTCTGCACTCTGCAGCCCGAGAGCTGCGACTGCTGAGCCCACGTGCTCTAGAGCCCATGGCTCTTGTTCTGCAGCAAGAGAAGCCATGACAACGAGAAGCCCACGCATTGCAATGAAGAGTATCCACCACTAGCAGCAACTTGAGAAAGTCCTCGCAGCAACAAAGACCCAGCACAGCCAAAAATAAATAAATAAATAAAATTATTAAAAAAAAAAAATGACTAAGAAGTCAGATGTAGATTCCACCCCCAAACATATTAAAGTCTATTAGAGACCAGATAGAAAACAGCTATTCACTTTTGGGGAATAAATCCAAGGAAATGAGTGATGATATACAATAAAACTGGAGAATAAAGGAGTTCTAAAACGGCAGGCATTTCTCTGGTAGTCCAGTGGTTAAGACTCTGTGCTTCCACCGCAGGGGGTGCAGGTTCGATCCCTGGTCGGGGAACCAAGATCCCTCTTGCCAAGAGGCACAGCCAAAAAGTTCAAAAAAATAAAATGACAAATACAGACCCTGGATGTCTCTTGAGTTGCTGGAAGAAAAGGAGAGGTTTTGGTGGTCTGTTTAGCAGAGCCTATGAAAGGGTGGGTTTCATGAAGTGTCAGAAACACCACCACCCAAGGTACTCCTGGGGATATGCCAATCCCTGTGGGCCATACCAGCAGGTCAGCAGCCTAGATGCCCCCAAGAGCAGCATCAAAGTTTGTGCTGCATCGTGTATTGCATGGAGTGAGCAAAGGGCAGTAGAGTGGTTCTTGCATTTGACAAGCAGACATAATTTGCTCTGAATGCAAGAGGATTCAAGAATCTAGTTTGTTGGATAGTACCAGGTTGGCCCAAAAGTTCATTCAGGTTTTTACTTAAGACCATGGAAAACAATAATGAACTTTTGGGCCAACTCAATAATAAAACTCAACTAATTACTATGAAGCTGAATTAAAAATTATAACCTAGGTTCTAAAAATGGCTTTACTGCAACTATACTTTCTGAAGAGCCTTCAGACATGAGTGATTATGTCAATATCTGACATAACTCTCACTGGGTCACCCTGCATGGTCTCCTGGCCTAAGACATCAAGAACTAGGTGGTCTCCGGCAGGTAAAGCATGAAGGGAGGACGGTCTGCCTAGGTCCTGACCTCAGTGCTGCATCCTGGCTGTAAGATCATTTCCAAATTAAATCTAGGATATTAAACTCTCCTCAGCACCAAAACCCAAGACTCCACTTAATAAGATCCTAAGTTGCTTCTTCCCAGAGTTAAATTCCAAGTGCCCAGGTGGATGTTTCTAATTAAGGATCCTTCCATCATCAACACCTTGGGTCAGAGCTATAAATGAATTTTTAATGAATTACCAATAAGTGTTAGCTACCATAAGACAGATGAGATTACATTGAAAGCATGATCTCTATAAAGAGGTTTATATTTTATTTTCAAGATACTATACTATGGGGAATATTAATTATCACTACAAAGAGCTATGTTAACAATCCTACAATAAACTGCTTTTTCAGTACATTTCTGTTCCTATCTATAAGCATTTTACAGGTTTTCCTTCATCTTTGTTCTCATTCTTAACCAACCTTATCACTTCAAAACAAAATCCAGCCCCACTATTGTTTTTACTTTGAAGGTTTTATAAAATTGACCAGCCTTTGTATATCCCTAAGTTGTAAAACTTTGCAAATTAATATAGTATTGGTGCACTGTCCCATAAAGGACAGAGGAAGAAAGACAGAACAATCAATATTTGTAAAATCTTTTCAAAGTATGAGTAGTCTTGCCATAATTATAAAGAAAGAAACCATTTTATTACTTTGCCAGATTACTCAGATTCAAAAGACTTGGTTGGGGAAATAAATTTCTTTTTAACCCTAATAATAGCAAGAAAAACTGGGTATAATTATTCTGTAAGACCTTAAATTAAGAATTGCTTAGATTTCTTGGGTCTCTTTCATGTATGCATGTCATTTTGTTATTTTCTCTCTCTCTTTTTTTTTTTTAAAAGAACTTTGGGAATCCCCTGGTAGTCCAGTGGTTAGGACTGCGCTTACAGTGCCAGGGATCTGGGTTCAATCCCTGGTCAGGGAACTAAGATGCTGCAAGTCACACAGCACAGTGATAACCAAAACAAGACAAAACAAAAAAAAAGAACTTCAGTTAATAACTACTTCCAAAAATCACTTTATATTGTAGTATGTGCATCAATAAATTTTTAGTGAGTCAAAGTATGATATGAAAAGAAGAAAATTAGGGAATTAAGAGAACTATATTAAATTTACATTCAATTTTTGTTTCCATATTTTTGGTTTCATTGGCACTTTATTAACAAGTAAAAATTTACAGCAACATCTGATGTCAGCTGTTCCAAATTAGGTGTGAGAAGCCCTGAGGATGGATGTTTAGTACTAGGCCCACTATGTCAATAAATTAAGGCAAAGTCAGCATGAAAAACAAAAACCTACATCTATTCATTCACCCCGCGTGTATTTATGGAAACCCGACTGGGTGTAGAGTTCTCAGTGAGGTGCAACAGGCAATAAAAAACCAGGATGACAAAGCTTGTCCTCAAGCTGCTTGTAAGAAATTGTCAGAAAAATCAGGTAAAAATGCTGGCTGATCAGTATGAACAGAATGTTGTCATTAGAGAGACAAAGCTGACACCTCATTCATAGTTTTAACGAAGATTATACGAATGCACACAGACCCTCTGCAGAGTGGGATGATGGAAGCCTTTCAGCTTTCTCTGTTTTTTCATGGTTTGGATTTCTTTTTTTAACAAGCATGTGTTATTTTTGTAAGAAGGAAAAGAAATAAAAATAAAAATGTTTCTATGAATCAACACTGGAAGCAAACAAGCAAACATACACTATCTGTTGACTTAGGTTGTTGGTGTCTTATGGGTGGATTTCCGTCTATTTTAAAGTTACTGTGTTTGTTTGTTGTCCTAAAAGAATTTTTAATGCCAGGTTTAATTCAACAAAAAAAGAGTATGGAAAATTAAAGTTCTTCTTGGTTTGAATAAACTGCTCTATGATGCACTAGGGTTTGAAGAGGGCTCATTGCCATTTTTATTTTTAGCTAAAGAGGAGAGATGTGAAGAAGATTAAGGTGTGTTGTCTACTTCTGTTAGTAATATACTTTCTCAGACTATGGTATCATGGCCAGTCTAAATGGAAAATGGTAGAATAAAACCCGTATCGGTCTACTTGTAATGATATATTTCATTATCATCTATGATTAGGGTAACTCTTCTACTGTCATTAAAATGAAACGTGGTCTTTTATGATCCTCTAATTTCCAAACACTTTCATACTGTTAATATACTGCCCTGGAAAAAAAAAAGAAAATTAAAACAATTCCTGGCTACATTGCAGCATGTTTAAGAGCTTCAGCATGAAAAGCATCATCAGCTTTGACCTTCATGTTTCCACAAGCCCCAGCCATATTAAATCCAAACAGGACCCTTCTTCACTTCAGCAAGTCCTAGTTACATCACTGGCTATTTTTCAAATTCTGTAATCTTGTTTTCAGTGTCGCTTCAGGCTGAATCATTCTTTTCAGAAGTGGCACCGATTATGATATCTCTGTAGCTTATTTACTACAACTCAACTGTCACTTTAAGTGAAAAAACTGTTGGAGAATAAGAAATTTTGTGCTAATGAAGGCTCATGTCCTTCTGGCCAAGAACAAAGGCTGCCTGGTACTTGCTAGCTCCATTTAAAAATTGTATTATTTTCAAAAGTCAGTCATGGGTTTCCAAGTATACTCTAAGTGCTATTACGTTCATTGACTCATTTTGCGGGGACCAAGATATAGAAGGCTGGGGGTGCTTTCTGGATGCCAGTCCCAGTCCACAGCCAGGGGGGAACATTCCAGTCAGTGATTCTTGAAGAACTAAGGCTGGACCCCAGATTTCATGTTCATGGCAGCTGTGTTTTAAATTTGCCAATTCACTGACATTCTTCCTGAAAGTCACATTGAAATACTTCTATTACCTAAAATTACATTTATCAGAATCCTAAATAAAGACATGTTAACATTAAGGAATAGGAAAAATTAAATTAAAAAATACATCTAGGATGTGGAACTGGACTTAAATGAAGATCCATGTATGCATGCACTTGGTTATCCTAACGCAGTGAGATTCAGACACACCTTCACAGGTGTGCATGGGGAGACACAGGGTCTTGTCTATGTGTAACTGGCATGACTCCACATCACAAAACCCCAGGGAGCAGAGTAGGGTCTGGCTTCACAGTGGGTTCACTTCCACTTAGGGTGTCTTTAGAAGCAGTCACCTGGTAAAGCAACTTCTCAACTTTGGAGAGAACTGTTTTACTTTCTTTCAAAAGAGCATCACAGCTATATTCCTTCTGACAACTAAAAATCTAAGTAGAAATCCTATGCTGAGGAAGTTCTTAGTGTGAAATGACTGAGAGGAAAACATACTTTCATTTTCAAAGTTAATTAAGGAATGATTTCGTTTTGGTAAGTAGAAATCCTATGCTGAGGAAGTTCTTAGTGTGAAATGACTGAGAGGAAAACATACTTTCATTTTCAAAGTTAATTAAGGAATGATTTCGTTTTGGTTCTGCAGCAGATCAGACTGGCTTTTAAATTCTGATTTTAACAAGTTAACATCACCTTGAAACAGCAATTTCTAGTGGTATTTGGGGCGGAGGATTGAGCTCATACCCAAAAGCCATGCCGGTGGGCAGATGTCCAACAGCAAGTTAAATTCACCTCTAGTTCACTGACTACAGTTTCAGCTGCATCTTTATGGAATGAAGGCAAAGCTTAACAAAGACCCCGTTAAAATGAAATGAGGCAGACCAACCTTTTATTGCACCCACAATATTTTGGTCTAGTCCTTTCCGGTTGTCATTGAGTCCTCTTTTCCTCTTCCCATTGGGTAAGGAGTTAGCCAAAGTCTTGTCATCAAAAAATGCACACACCAGTTTTCTAAACAGAAGGCTTCCTGAGCGAGTGTAGTTTGACAATATAGAGTCCAGCTGAGATTTAGGCATAAACACATCGAAGCCTTCAGCAAGTTGCACTTCTGGCTACCAAAAGAACATAAATATGTCATTAAAAGCAAGATTTGAAGTTACCAACGTTGGGCATATGTGCAACAAAAAAACATCACCAGCTCTTGCAACGGCCATATATCGTGAAAACCACATAGCCTCAGCTTTGCGTGCCAGTGTTTGCCATTTTCAAAACCAGTGACTAGTTGTAATTCACCAACAAGATGCTCTAATTCCAGTATTAAGTCTCATCAAAAACAGTGCAAAGTAGTACACTGAAAAAGCATTCTCGTCCTCAGAGAGAGTTAAGAGAAAGCTGGATAATTTCCAAAGCATTTAAGTCTAGAGCTACCCAGGGGACTTGAGACTTCTGGGTGAAATGTCTTCACTTTGTAAAGGAAGGAACTCAGGCCCAAATGGATCATAACAAAAATGACTTAAAAAAAATAATTTAGAGGTATTCAATTGCATTACAGTTTACAGATCACTTTCTCCTGCCTTAAATAATTTGATCTCATTTGCCTATGGACATGGGGCTACCCCAAAGGTCTCATGCTCTTTGTACCAGGCCAGTGGTTTTTAGTTGTGGAACTATTTTTCCCTCCAAGGAAAACTTACGTCAACTAATGTACAAAATAAATGAAAATCCTGAGCAGGTGCCCTGACTCCTGCTTTGGGGAGGGAAATCTGAAGCTCTATTCCAGAGCATCATTGGGAGACCAGTGTACTAGTACCAGTGCTTCCTGCTGGAGATTTTCTGGCTGGGGGATACTGGGTCAGAAGACTGATAAGGGGCCTTTCAACCTGAACTCTACCATATAAGCTCAGACACTGATAATACATTCTCTATGTATATGCCATGGATGTTTACAACCCATCCTTTCATCTTTCAACCCGCTCATACCATTTCCTTTTCAAAGCCTTAGCTCCGTCTTTCCCAAGGAGGCAGCTATGCACTCTTTGTCACTGCTATCTGTTTTAAGAAAAAATATCTATTTATTCATTCACTTATTTGGCTGTGCCAGGTCTTAGTTGTGGCACTCAGGGTCTTCAATCTTCATTGCAGTAGTCACAATCATTTTTTTAGTTGAAGCATGTGGGATCTAGTTCCCTCACCAGGGATCGAACCTGGGCCCCCTGCATTTGGAGTGTGGAGTCTTAGCCACTGGACTATCAAGGATGTTCATATTTATCTGATTGTATTTATTATACTATATTATAATTATTGATTAGATTGTGGCCCTTCCTGATGCCTAGAACTCAGGCTTTATGTCTCCAGGGCCTGGAACACAGTAAGCACTAAATAAATTCTTGTTAAACACATAAAAGTTCATTAGTCATTACAAAAACTGCTAAGTCATTCACTACTGATTAGAACATGATGACTTTAAAATAGTGACTTTAGGGTGAAGAAATGCAGCTGGTAAACTTTCATTTGAAAAAAGTCAGAAGGAAATCTCACTTAAGATAGATCATAAAAGCTAATTCTTAGATACCTTATTGCAAACTTGGCTAACCTGATGCCACTTTAGATTTTCTAAATCATATGAGACATGTGAGGATTTGGGTCTTGTTTTTCTCCCGGAGAATAGGAATTATTGTTTGTCCTACTGCTTCTCAGAATGCCAGCTATGTGCACTACGCCCTGTGGTCAGAACAAAGGGTTCAGTGCTCATGCTCAGTCACTGAGTCATGTCCAGCCCTTTGCAACCCCACGGACTGTACCTATCCATGGAATTTTCTAAGCAAGAATACTAGAGTGGGTTGCCATTTCCTACTCCAGGGGATCTTCCTGACCCAGGGATCAAACTCCAGTCTCCCACATCTCCTGCATTGGCAGGTGGATTCTTTACCACTGGTGCCACCTAGGCTTGGGGAAAGGCTTAAATGACTCAGACTGTGTGGGGACCATCTAGGGCCCTGCTCCTCCTCCCAAGTGGAATTCTCAACTGGATTTTCCAGAAAATCATCTCACTTCTCTGCTGTGCTCTCCCATCTGGCTTTTGGTCTCTGAATGCACAGTGAATATCACTCTAAAAACAGTGTTGCCGGGTGGGCCCCTGACTTTTTGCCCCTCAGTGCTGGTGATGGTCTGCAGAGGAGGCTGACAGGAGCCAGAGTCTGGGCCCCCAACTCCTGGGACAGAAGGTGTACACTTAGGCAACTCAAGGCACATTTGTTGAATGACTCAATGTAGAAATGTTAGGATTGAAGGAATTCTACATCAAAATCTGAGATAAAGTTGTATCCATAGTCACAATTTTATTTTGCACATCCTATGGTTGCCTAATTTAGACCTTTTATGCTAAATGAACTGACCAGATTTTTGCTAAATGCTCCTATATCATTTGAAAACCATTTAAAGAGTCCCTGTCTACTTTATAGAAATAGCAACTCACAGCTATTTGAAGATCCGGGGGTTTCGGGGAGGGGGGGGTGGTACAGAAGCTCTTAAATTCACAAGAGAAAAGGGAAAGATGAACCATGGTCTCTCATTCATGTATGTCTGCTGGACGCTGATGACCACCAAGCCGGGGTTTAAAGCAGACACCTGACCTCTGAGACTCCTAGCACCTCCCCTTGGATTCATCATGTAGGACCTGAACCTGGTTTGAGAGACTGACCTAGATTAGCCCACCAGGCAGGACTGGCCACTCCTGTCTTCACAGACGCAGTGTTTTCTATGAACTACATTTCTGGCACTTTTCATGATGCATTTGTTTAGTCGGGAGTTTGTGTTTCTCATCAGAATGTGTACTGTCTTTGTCATTCAGAGTGCCAAACACCCGGCTAGCGCCTGATAGATTTTTCTCAGAATGAACAAAACACTATGGAAGAATTCATTCAAAATGACTAGTATTGATTTCGAGGTCTTTTATCCCCACATAAAGGAAGTGGCTGTGGAAGTCGGCTGCACCCCAGTCCAGCCTGCCAGCCTTCTCCTTGCAGGGCCTGTGCTGGCTGGGGGAGCAAGCTACCTAGAGAAGACGGCCCTGACTCAATCAATATTTACTTGGCATCCTCAGTGTGGAAGGAGTTTAAGGTTGGGCTCACTAGATGAGACATATACATAAACCCCCATCATACAGAGTGGAGAATGACCAATGCTGCAAGAGGGGCAAGGACTATTAGGCAGAGTTGGCTGGTGAGGGGAGAAGGGGTTTGGGTAGAGGGCGCAGGATAGCATTTTATTAGGACCTTGGAGGTTTTCGGATTTCGGAGAGATGCACTTGCTGTCTGTGGCATCTGCTTTGACTCTTAAAACTAAGCATCTGGAGGTTTCTGTGGAGCTGAGACTCCCTATGGGATCAGAGCAGTGTTCTGATTTCTGAGATGCTATCCCACTGCAGAAGCTATCAATACTTTGTGCTCTACTTTCTATTATCAGATGACTGTTGTTATTTTGAAGACTTCCCTCCAGATCAAGGAACACGAACTTGCCCAGTTATGCCTCCTTTACAAACGAGTCAGTTTTATTAGTGGAGGCCTCTGGCCCTCCCTGCTCCTCAAGTCTTTTCTTTCAAGCAGATTTCTTAGCTGGCTGTCAGTGAGCACTAGGGTATCACAAAACTACAAAGCAATTCCTTAAAAAAAAAAAAAAAAAAGGAGTGGGGAGACTTACTTCCTAAGACATGAAGAATTTGATGGTTGATTAATCTCATTGTTTTATAATGAAACCTTTTTATCGCTTCCATTTTATAAACATAATCACAGTGGCCCTGGTAGTGATCCACAGCTTTGTACTTACATTTAAAAACAGGTTAAAACTCTGTAATTGTATGCTTGAATCTCTTCTCTTTTTGTTTACTGTCTAGTCTAAGTGAGATCCCTCTGCTTACTGATGATGGCTATGATAGAAACCACCACTATTCCAAATGAATATCATTTTAAAAGCTAGATTTCCTTTGACAGAATTACCATCTGATACTCCAGCGAGGACAGACAGCTAATAGACTGATTTACAGATTCTATTGATTACTGAAGTAATATGATTTTTAAATGATGACATTCAAAGTATGGGACAGGATTTATGACGCTTAGAGTCATCTTTTTAAGAGTCAAGAGTCTGAATGCCCACTATAAATCTGGATTCCCATGGATGGCTTGCCTATTTTCAGTACCTCAGCCACTTAGCACAGTAATGTATCAAATGTTGAACTTTCCTATCCAATGGTATTGCATCTTATACCCAGTGAAGTCTGGGAGGCAAAAACTGCATGTAGTCAGGAGAATGCTTAAAAATATTCCTGGACCCAGGCCTGTAGACATTAACTATCTTGTTTCTCTTCACAGTTGCATTTCAACTGTGGTCCCCCTTTGATTAGAAGTAGGTGGGATCAAGATTTAGTTTGGTGGGGGGATCCTATAACACCTGGTAAATTAACAGATTTCCCCAGAGACTTTCCAGGTGGTCCAGTGGTTGAGTCTGCATTTCCACTGCTGGGGTCTGGGGTTTGATCCCTGGTTGGGGAGCTAAGATCCCACATGACACAAGGTGTGGCCAAAAAAGGAAAAACATTTTTCCCCTAAGTCTCTCTGAGTATATGACTCCCCTATATAACCTAAAGAAAAACACATAAAACAATTTTGAGATCATACAAATTAATCACACAGGCAATATTTCTGATACTGGCTATTTTATGTAAGGCATTGTTGGCTGCAAATTATAGGAAGACATGTAAAAAGCGACATATAGTCATCAGGTTAAAGTAAACAGAAGTACAGGAATATTCATATTGGGCATTAGTCCCAGATTTTCAATCTCAAGTTAATTAATTATACACAACAGTTTGTAAACTTGACTTGCTACATAGTCAAGTTTCAGACTGGCTCAAGATTGAAACCTATAAGAAAACTATGGATGAAAAGCTAAGGAGTTTTTCAAGTAAGACTAACTGCATTTGAACTGAAAATGTTTAACAAAACTCATAAGAACAGTGAATTCAGTCCTTCTGTTCATAACATTATTATATACAATGATCCTTTATTCTCATTTAAGAGTTTATTTAGATGTACTTCTAGGAAAACAAGCTTTA